GTTCATCCATCCAACTGTATCTCCTCATAATTACATTAAGATAACACTCTCCCGCCTCATTTTTTTATTATTAGAAATGAACAGATTTAAAGCTTTTCCCCCCTCAAATTATGGCTCACCTGAGTAGATAATTAAAAGACTATAAAGGAGATACATTTTTATGTGTAATTACGCCTACTTCTGCTGCTGTATCGCAGGCTTCAAAGAAAAAAATATTTGCAAAACAACTCCAAACTTTTATTTTGTCAGTGCCATAATTGCTGCTTGTCACGGCCATCCGTGCTGCTGTCTGCTATCTAATGAGAGCACATCTCACAGCAGCTCGGCTCAGACAGGAGAGCACACGGTGCGACTCCAAAGCCACAGCAATGTGCTGCTGACAGAAGAGCTGTGCACACCGTGGCAATGAGACAGCAGAGCCCTGGCAGGCAGTGGGCACACACCTGGCTGCAGGTTCCCTTGGGTATCGTGGGATTTACAATCACAGAACGGCCTGGGTTGAGAAGGACCACAATGATCATCCAGTTCCAACCCCCCTGCTATGTGCAGGGTCACCAACCAGCAGACCAGGCTGCGCAGAGCCACATCCAGCCTGGCCTTGAATTTGTACAGCTTTGTTGAGATGCTTTGCGATGCTGAGAGCTGCTGTAGGGCCCCGCTGCTGCCTCCTTGAGCACCCATGTGCCTGGAGAGGAGCTGTAAGCACCAGAGCCAGCTTGCAGCACAGAGCAGAAGACGGGTTGGAGAAGAGAAGCCTGTGCCTGCGAGCAATAGCAGCGCCTTGCACCCACCTCACAGCACTGCAGTCCCAGGCTCCTGGTGAGAACAGGCTGCAAACAAGTGCTGCTTTCTCCCTGGGATACTCAGCAATGCGGCTCTTCCACCTCTTCCAGCAGAGCAGCCGCAGCTCCCTGCTGGCATCTCTGCTCCTCGCAGGCAGGGCTGTGGCCGTGCTGCGGCCAGCAGTGCTCATTAGCCCGGGCTCAGAGGCGATTCTGCCCATCACCCCACACAGAGCAGCTCAGGAAGGACTTATTAGCACAGCTCACCCTGCCATAAGAAAGGCTCCGCTGCTCCCAGCCCCGAGCTCGTTCCTGGCTATCGCATACAGCGTTCTTCAGTTCAGATTCACCCCGAACTAAAAACGGTGCTGATCTAACACGTGGCCTAGATAGCAAGGAGGGACAGGTAGCACAAAGCAAGGCACAAAACAAGGGACAGCAATAAGAGAACGGGCTCCCTGGTGCCCGCACCGTGCCTGCTCCAGAGCACACTGCAAGAGATGCTCCAGTAAGTCCTGCAGCTCGAGCTGTACTTCACTCAGGCTAACAGAAGATCCATACCTCTGACCAAGAGCCTCACACGCTCAGCAAATCTTAGCACAGCCAAGACTTACCCAACTCCTTCCAGGTGATTTTTCAGCAGCCCGCCTTAGCCCCTACACAATATGCAACCATGAAAGTACCTGGAGCACCACCATGGCATCCCTCATTTCATCCTTCCCTTTAAAAAGGGATACCTACTTAAAGGAGGTGGAACAAACTTCCAACATCCCCTCAGCCTGCCATCAGGCTTAATCAAGGCCAGCCTGATGCTAATGGCTATTTAGGCTTGAGGTCCTACACAGCTGGCACCGCCTCCTGCCTTGCTAGCCTATGGGCTACTACAGAATCCGGTGCCTGTAACCCTCAGGTTACATTTCACAGAACCACTGAGGCTGGAAAAGACCCCTCAGGTCCCCAGGTCCAACCCCAGCCCACCATGCCCACTGCCCACGTTGCTCAGTGCCACATCCCCACAGCTCTGAACACCTCCCAGCACGGTGACTGCCCCCACTCCCTGTGCAGCTGTGCCCTGAGATGAATTTTTCCCTAGTATCCAACGTGATACACACTTAGATAAGGACCAGCGACAGGAAGAAGGGATGGAGATGACCAGGAGGAGGGTGCAGGCTGGCTGGGACTGCAGAAAGCTTAGCAGGATGTTATGTTAAACCTACCCTCTAGCAAAGAAAGGGATTTATTCTCCTAAGATAAGATGAGAGCGAAGTCAGGTGAAGGCAGCAGCTACTGGAAAGCAGAGCAGCCTGCCCTTGCTTTTCCACTGGGAAAGCAATTCAGAGGCTATGAAGAGAGCTACCTGTGCTGGCTGTGCGAGCACTGAGGTCAGCACACATCAGACTACATCCCTTCATCCCTTCATCAGGATTGCAGGTGATTTTTTTGCACTCTTGAAGTGTTCCTCTTCCCCTCTGGAGCAGAGCCCAACCTGCTGCCAGGGCTGACAGCAGCCAGGACACTCAGATCCTTGCAGGCAGGAGCAATGACTGGATTTATAGCCCCACTGCAGCAGCCTCCAAGGTGGTCTCCTCGTGCCGGGGAGCCATTCCCACTCAGCGCAGAGGCTGTGGTTTGTAAAGCATCCCAGGATGTGGCAGAATGTATTAAATCAACACCTTGGGCTTAGAGAGTTGCCATAGCACCGAGACACCTCCTGGTCACTTGCTCTCCCACTGGCAGATGTTCCAGCTCTCAGCAGCACCCAGGGAAGCTCTGGGACTTGGCAGGACAGCCGAGTTGCACAGGTTTGTGGAGCAGAACCTGACTGATGGTTCCATGCTCAGCTTTGCCTTTCCTGCAGCAAGTGCCCTGCTGAGTGCCAATTGGTGCCCGTTGTGCCAGGGACTGGAGCCACCAACCCAGCCAGATGTGAGCCAGTAAACACCTTTGTACATTGGTCCAAATCACTTTGGATTTTCACCAGCACACAGCTAGCTCATCCCTCCCCTTCCTCCACATCCAGCACAGTGCAACAGCACAGGTCCAGCTCTGGAGAAGTTGTACACGTCAGACACCTGGCTCAGCAGACAGGTGGCCTGAACAAGCCATTGTCACCTCCCCCAGGTGCACATCCATCATGCTTAAAGGGTGAGACAGAGCCCTTGCAGAGAGCCATGGAAAAGGCCTGCAAGGACATCCAACCTGCAGTGCTGCCCTGGGGCAGTGGGACACAAGCAGTGAGGGGGGAACAGCCATCAGACCACAGCATGGCTGTGCCCTGCAGAGCATCCCCAAAACCCTACAAGCACTGAGGGGTTGGGGCTGAGCCCTCCCAGCACAGCCACAGCCCTTCAGGAAAGAACAAGTGTTTTTAATTGGTGACGAGACACCTCCAATAACTCCAGCAGATGCTGCCATTTAATGCAGGTTGGCACATAACTTTATAATCGGACCATATTGCTCCAATTACAATTTAGCCTATAGCCCTCTCGGGTTTGTCTTTTATTTGTCTTTCACTGCCAAGCACAGCAGGGAGGGGAGGTGGGAGAAGATGGGCTCTTGCCTGTCCCACCTCCTTCAGTGCTGCATCCCTGGTGCCAGCTGGCAGCCTTATGGACACCCTGTGCCCCACTGCTGTGACACGTGGCTGTCACCAGACAATGGGGACCCTCATGTGCCCCACAGCATTGCTGCTCCTCCTCGGGGTGCTCAGCACCCAACCCACCTCCGTCCTCTTCCCACTGTAGGGCAAAGCAGTTCCCCCATCTAATGATGGCCCAGTCCAGCCAGCCCCAGCTTTGGGTGTTAGGGCAACAAATGTAGGAAAACTGTTTTTGCCTCTGTGTGGCCTTCCCAAATGCCATTTTGTTCAGGCCAGAAGGTGAAAGAAGCTTCTCCTGGCAATATGGAAATCCGTGGCAGTGTGTGGACGCTCCATGGGAGTGATGGAGCAGCAGTGCTGGGCTCACCCTGCATCCTACAGAGCCCTGTTGAGCCATCAAGCTGTCAGCACAGCTCCTGCAGACCCTATTAAAAGGATATTCCCGGATAAGTTGCTCTGGGAACTTTAAGCACTGGTTGTAAATGTCTTCTGGGTACTTAAGGGGAAAACCTCGGGTGACCTGTGTAAGGGATATATCCTCTCAGCACCCCAAATCCCAGAGCAGCCAAGAAACACGAGCGTTCATTTAAACCACACCACTTGCCCGTTAAATCAAATATCAACCCAATTAAGGGCACACAAACAAGCTCAGCTCTGCCCTCAGTGCCTGTTTGCACTGAGTATCCTGGAGGAGCTGCCAGGGAAGGCTGGATTTCATGGCACAGGCACTGAGGTTTCATGACATCCATGCAGACGGAGCCCAAGGCAGCAGAGTCCTGCCTGCAGGAACTGCAGCCATCAGAAACATCAACTCTCAGTGTCCTCAGAGACAGAATAAGGACACCGACCTCTGGATGCCAGGTTTGAGAAACCCTACAGCCTCCTTGCTGGGGGCTTCATACGCAGAATCACAGGGAAGCAGAGACCTCAGGGATGCATTGAGCCCAATGAGCATTACCCAAAGACTAAGAAGCACAGGAAGATGTGGTGGATGCTCCATCCCTGCAGACACCCAAGGTCAGGATGGACGGGGCTGATGGAGCTGTAGGTGTCCCTGTTCACTGCAGGGGAACTGGGCTAGATGGCCTTTAAGGGCCCCTTCCAACTCGAATGATTCTAAGTCCTTCCACCCACCCCACACACCGTCCCAGTGTTAACACCTATTTCTGAACCTGTATACATAGGTTCCAGGAGAACACTGGACTTCAATGGGCAGGCTGGGACACACCCTGAGAAGCACACAGCCTTTGTGCTCACCATGCACTTCCATCCAAGTCAGCACTTCCAGCACAGCTTCCCCAAAATAACTGCACACAACTGTTTTGAAATGCACCCTGTGTAAAAACCCATACCAAGAAAATTCCTTCTCGTGGCTTTTTTTTTTTTTTTTTTTTGCAGCAAGCAACCTCTGATAGGGATCAGTGGGAATAAAGTCACTTCATTTACAAACTGGAGAGCCAAATCTGATATGCAGCAAAACTCGAGGTAAGTCAAGGAGTGATGGAGCGCTGCCAGCTCCCTGAATGAATATTCATGGCCAATGTTCACCGGGTTCTGAGCTGCAGATAAGGCAGCAGCAGAAAGACCGCCTCTGGGAAGGGGAAGAGAAGGAACCAAGCTTATTTCATAATTTTTATTGAGTGCAATTCTCTCTTTAGTACAATATCCTCTGAAAGTTACCGTTACAAACTCCGACAATTTCAACACAATTGACGAACCGGGGAAGGGGCAAAAAAAAAAAAAAAAAGAAAGAAAAGAAAAGAAAAAGAGAGGAAAAAAAAAACAAAAAACCAAAATTAAAAGAAATTACAAGGGGTGAAAAAACCTGTTACAGACAGCTCACGGGTTATGTACAGGACGGGGTGCTGCAGGTCCCACCATCTCACAGCCCTGCTCATCCCACGGGCGGTGGAGGAGGCGGTGCTGCCGGTGCTTCTGTGCCCCTGCAAGGGAAGAGTGGGACAGGAGGTGAGAAGGAGCCATTCCCACGCACAGCCCTGCACGTGTTGTAGAGCCACGATGCTGCTCAACGTTGGTCAAACCCAACGGTGCCTGCCAAGCCCATCCGCTGCTCTTCCAAAGTGAAACAGCAACCCTCAATTGATGCTCTTTGCCATCTCCCATGTCGAAGGCAGCGCCCAGCAGAACAAGTAAACCATCATCCAACAAAACCTGCTCTTTCCAAAGGTAACTGCTCTTTCCAAGGGAAAGCCAGGAGGCTGCAAAACCCAAACAGCACTCTCAGGAGCACCTCTTCCAAGCAGCCAAACCCCATCACTCACTCAGCCCCTTCCAAAAAGCGGATGCTTTTAATACACAATTGCACTGCAGAAACATAAAGCTGACATGTTAAACAACAAAGCAATTGACTGCTGCATCCCTTTGCTTGGGCACTGATAACCAGAGATTGCTGCCCCTGTGTGAACATGCCAATGCTTTTTTTTTTAAAAAAAATTCCAGCCGCGGCTGACATTTTGGTCCTATTAAAATTCATCATTCTGCTGAATGAAAATCATTTCTAGCAAAGCCGGGTAGTAATGAAACTTTTATTTGGTAATTTAGCGCTTGGTAGAAAAAGGGACATGTGAGAAAAGGGAAGAAAAACTGAGACAAAAGAGAGGAAGAAGGGAGTGGAAAGGAGAGAAGGAAAGGAGGGAAGAGAGAGAGGAAGGGGGGAGGGAGGGAGGAAAGAAGGAAGGAAGGAAAGAAAGAAAGAGGAAGGAAAGCAGGAACGAGGTGCTAAGGGGAAAAGTCTTCATCGCGTATTTACCATGCATGCATTTTGGTGCCACGTTCAGAGATCCAGGCTCACAACATAAGCAGCAATACAAATCTGTGAAGCCAGCCCCCCAGGAAGGCACTGTGAGCACAGGCATCCCCATGGCTCGAGCTGTCCCCATCGGCCACCCCCAGGGACAAGGGCAGCCGCTGGCACAGTCTGCGCCGCCCGCTGCCAGTCCTTGCACAGCACTAATTGCCGTTGATAATTGCACTGATGTTGACCATAATTTCCCTGCCCTCTCTCCCCACCTTGGCAAGAGGGTTCAATTGCCTAACGAGATCCCTGGGGATGAGCAGCAGGCAGAGGAGCGTGCCCAGCCCACGGGGAAGCTGCTCCTGGGCAGGGCACACACCAGACAGATGGACCAGAGGGAAGAAATGGGAGGGAGGATGGAGTCCAAGGCTTGTTTATTTGGAGACGTGGAGAAAAGCTCACTCAAATTCATTTTTTAAGTGGATAGCACAAACTGAGCTAATCCCTCTAACGCTGATCCGGGGTTAATGCAGCCGTAAGCAGATTTTGCCTAATCCACTTCCACGGTTGCTCTGGAAGGGCATGTCTGTTTTGGGAAGCACCTCGTTGGGCTAATCCACTTAAATGCATACGGTGTTTGGCTTGGATTAACCTCCACAAGTGCTCCCGTGTGAGGGGGTGACCCCCTCCATGGCCACTCCACCCAGCACCCCTCCTGGTGCTTTGGCTCTTCCCAAATGAAGAGGATTTGCCCAAGAAGGTGTCCTTCCAGCTCTTGGAAAATTATTTTGGAGGCACTCCAGTCGCTACAAGATCAGCATCCATCCCTGCAGGACGTGATGGATTTGGTGATGAGGCATTGCAGGACTTTGTGCCCTGGGGATGTGGCAGAAGGGGACACGGAGCACCTGGGTGAATGCATGAAGTCCCATCCCCATCCTCTGCTCCTCCATCGGCTGCTCAATGGGATGGCACATAAGGAACCACGGGGAGGTGCTGGTGCAGGTTCCTGGGGGCAGGGAAAGGAGCATCACAGACACCAGAAGCCAACAGGCTCAGAAGCAGACGTCTGGGCTCGCTCTTAGTTAAAAATCGGCCGCCTGCTGCGTTCATTGCCAGCTCCGCTCTGACTTGCAGCAACATTTAAATTAAATATACATAAGTGCTTTCAAAGAACTGTTAATTTGAAGGTCATTAAATGGCACAAAGCGCATTCCTTTCCTTTCTAGAAAGAGGCACATAATGCTGCTATTAGCACACGCTCCTTTTCCATGCCTAAAGCACGCTCCTGCCTTTTATTCCCTCTGCTGAGCAGAGCCCACTCCCACTGCCTGCTGGAGACAGAGAATTCCAGGGAAACACCGCATCTGGATAGCAGAGGGGATCTCACACCCAACTCCCAGGAGCTGCCATGGACACACACAGAAGGGATATCATTTCCAAGCTGTCCCTTCCAATTTAGGATCAAGGAAAGGAACTCCAATGCCAAGCACAACACAGATCAGAGGATGATGTAAAACGGGAACTTTCCGTTTGGGATTGGGTTTTTTTTGGTTTTTTTTTTTTGTTCTTTCCTCACCAAAACCATTTGGCACTCTCCCTCAGGCTGCAGAGCATCCAGCTGGCCCAAATCTGCATTCCTCCTTGGTCCAATGAACAAGTGACAGCAAGGCAGAGCCTCCTGCCCAGCGCCACGCTGAATCACCAGCGCAGCTTCCCTGTCCATCTCTGATGGAAAAAACTTTTGGAAAGACCTGGATGATGCAGTTGCATGGCTATGGCCAAGCAGCTGAGATCTCCTGTGTGCAAACACCTCTAAACCCAGGGGTGACGACCATCAGCCAGACCCACTCAGCTCAGCCAGTGCTGGGATGCTCCGAGCCTTAATGCTTCCACCCCAGCTCTGGCTGGAGGGACAAGGGACACCCAAAATCCCTGCAGGCACTGGGCCAGGCAAGACATAGTAACCCACTTTGGGCACCCCCTTGACAGCAGCTCTCTTGCCAACCATGCTTCAGCCCCGGAGGAACTGCCCAGCCTCATCCCAACTCCTTGCCCAGCCCTGTGCCCCAGTGTGATGCTGCTGCAGAGTGCAGCCCCAAGCCTCTGTGTCATCACAGTGGCTCCAGCATGAGGCTGGTGACAAAGCTGAGGCATAGGAACCACCTGCCCCAGTGCAGCCCAGGAGGTGCCAGATGCATGCAGCTTGCTGCTAACAGGCTGCAGTGCTGCCACATTGTTCTCAGCCCAACATGTGCAGCCACAAAGCTAGAGGTTTGATATTTAGCCCGTGTCACTGCCATCAGTCCCTTTAAGTGCCTTTCGCTTCCTTCTAATAAAAGAGAAATCATAAAAAAAAAACCCACAAAGGATCCATCACCAGCAGCGAATACCAATGTGAGAGGCAGCATGTTAGTATGCGTGGCACCCATCCCTTCTGCATGCTGTGTGCAGTGACAACATCCCAGCATGCAGATTGGGGCAGTGCCGATCTCGAGGCATGGCTGCCCTCCAGCCAGCAGCATGAGGAGCAGTCTATAAACCAGGTGTGCTTCACCCTGCCTTTCTTTAAGGGGAGCTCAGCAAGGTGAAACAAGCTCAGTCCCGTATTATATGACCGTGATGGGTCATAAGGAGGAAACGTGAAGGAACAATAAACACCCAATGCTGCGGTCCATCCTCTGCCAGCGTGCCAGCTTCCATCCTCCCACCCTATGTCCTAAGAGCAGGAGCCCAACAAGAACAAGTTCTAGTCGCCCCAACTCTGGCACGCAGGACATGGGTGAAGGAAGCAGGATACAAGGCACCTCCATGGTGTGCATGGGTGCAGGGCATCCCCACAATGTGGATGTGGGACAAACCCATAGCACAGACACGGGGCAGCCCCAAAATACGGATGGGCAAGGGGGATCCTCGTGGTGGGGATGGACGTGGAGCACCTCAAGGGCATGGATGGATGTTTGCTGCATAGTGGGAGGGTAAAGGGCTTCTTATGGACAACTGAGCCACCATGGTAAGGCCAGGAGGTACTATGCAGCCCCAGCACCTTACAGCAGCCACCCACAGCCCCCAATCCCTGCTCCCACTGCCAGCCTCTGTGCTGGCAATGATGGATCTCTACAAGTCGCACACAGCCAGCTAAGTAAAAGCCTTATTAGGAGTTCATTCATTTTATAAACTCTCCGCACGATCCACAGAGGGAAGTTAGATTGCCCAGACTTACAATATTCTGTGTAAACACTGACATGCATCTAGTAATTTTAACTAGATCAATTTGCAAAAGAGACCAGCAGTAGAACCAATAAAAAATAATAATAATAATAATAAAAAGTCAAATTAAACACGGGGAAATATTCACTGGAAGAGGCTTCAAAGAAGCGAGCAGAAACACACCAAAAAGGATGAGAGGTGCACGAGACAAACGGACCTACCTCTGAAGCCACGAAACCTAAGTCCGTAACTCAATATCAAAATCCTTAGGTCCACAAGATGGGGGAAATAAAGTTCTCCATAGCCATCTTCTGCAGGTCCCCGAGGCTCTGGAGGCCTCAGCAGTCTCTTCCCCAGAGCATCTCTCCTCCTCCTCCACAACCCAGTACCCACGCACCACGGCTCCTCCTCCTCCCGCCTGCATTGGGGTCGGTGGTGATCTCTGGTCACGGGCAAGCAGCAAGTCCACAGTAGGTTGACAACGTACACGCGCGCACACACACACATGGGAACACCTCTTTCCATTTGCCATGATGGAATTTGTTTTTT